AAATACATTAATTTTAATTGATGCTGTTCCTCGGGTATTAATTGGTGATGAGAAGTCACTGGATCAGCAGCCATGGTAACTTACTGTTAGCACACGCATTCATGCTCTGGGATTGAAGATGGTCCCTAATTCGCTATTTTCAAATCCATGCCCACTTTGCTTGTGTGACTTGGATGCCGGGTAGTACATAGACTTTGAAGGCAAAGAAAATGCTTTCTGCCGTGATAAGCTAATAAACGTTGTTAAAGGACTGGATTTTCTTTTGTTCTTCATGGTTTTTTTTTTGTCAAATGGAGTTTTTAGTTTAAGAAAAGTTTTAAGAAAATGAGTAGCTACCAAGAAAGGATGTGGGAGTTCACTGTGCAGAGGACTGCAGTGATCCTGGAGAAGAGGAGGCTCCCCTCCTGGAGAGGGGAGACCTCATCGCGCTCTACCACTACCTGAAAGGAGGTTGTAGCGAGGTGGGGGTTGGTCTCTTCTCCCAAGTAACCAGTGATAGGACGAGAGGAAATGGCCTCAAGTTGCACCAAGGGAGGTTTAGACTGGACATTAGGAAAAACTTCTTTACTGAAAGAGTGGTCAGGCCTTGGAACAGGCTGCCCAGGGAAGTGGTGGAGTCACCATCCCTGGAAGTATTTAAAAGACGTGTAGATGAGGTGCTTAGGGACATGGTTTAGTGGGCATGGTGGTGTTGGGTTAACGGTTGGACTTGATGATCTTAGAACTTTTCCAACCTTAATGATTCTATGATTCTATGATTCTATGACTTAGCAATGCATGAATTTAGCAAAACCCCGAATCTGCTTCCAAAATAGGAACAACCTGTCAAAATTGGACATACAAATTTGAAGCAGATTAAAAATTTTCATCATCTCTAACTTGTTAAGATAGAGTTTTGATGTGAGGAGAGTAAGACAGAAATTAGCATTCAAACAGGTTGAAACAGATGTACTTTCATGCAAAATCTTTCTAATTTATGATTTGACAAATTGATACTTATTCCTTTGTGTTGTGGAGTTCAGTTCCCTGAACTTTTCAACTGCTGAAATGTCTGCATCCTGAAGTTTATTTAGTGCACTATGCTGGGTGCCAAGAAAGTAGAAATAGCTATTATCCCACACTGTTCTACAGGCATGAATCAAGAGTTTCATGACCTGCTGAGACAGCAGTCTCCTTAACCTTGCTTAAATGTTTGCAAAAGAAGTACGAAATCCTATCTGTGTCATTTTGCAGGGAAATTTGAAGGTCAAAACCAACACAAATTGTAGAGCAGTTGGGAAATAAAAAAACCTGTTTCTAACAGCACAGTTTTAGGAGCTGCAGCAGGATTGCGTTAGGAGAGAAGTTGCTGCTTTGATTTCAGTTGCAAACTCGTGGAACTATTTGATGCTGGAGCTTGACCTTTTCTGAGATCTGAATCTGTTCAGTGCCATTAGCAGTGGGTTGCTCTAAACGGGCTGTAGCGCTAGTCACCTTGCTTGTCATACCCAGCTGTACATTCAGTGGAGTCACCAGCATAAAACTGAAATTTGTGCTTTCAAGCTGAAGGGGGTTTGTGACAGATATCTGGTTAAATGTGAAAACCATGCATATTAGCATATGGGAAAGGCCTTTTTTTTCCATATATCTGTGTCGTAAAATAGGAATATTTATGTGGGTGGCCTTGCTTTTGTTTTTGTCTTTTCATTCTTTCTAAAGCTTCCTAAATATCCATGCTGTGAGGACAGTTTTGATGCACAGGAGGGTTCAGTGTTTGTACTTTGGCAAATTGTGCAGCCATTAACTTTCAGGGGACTGTTTCAGCTTTCGGGTTTAGGTAAGTGGTGTTTAACACACCCCAAAATTTCCTGAAAGCTAAGGACTAGTGTCAGTAGTCATTCATGGTTTTATCGTGGTCTTACCAAAGTCACAATTCTGTTTGCAATGTACTTGGGAATAGAGATGGAAAAATTAACTGGGAATTATGAGGAAGACTGTGGGCTGATAGATTAAACAAAGTATAGCGTAGGCTCAGGGTGAGGCCAAGTTTCTTCAGTTACTGCACAGGAGAAAATGGAGCAGAATTCACCGGAGGGTGGCATTCCTCAGGCTGCCCTCAGTCTCCTTAGTTGAGTAAAACAAACAATCTTTCTGCAAATTTAAGAAATCGTTGCTTTATGTAGATGGAAGAGTAAAAAATGTTTCCTTTAATAATATATACCTGTGGCAGGATGTTATCTTTATTAAAATTTAGCAAGAGAAGTATATCACAAAAATACCTAAGAGAAGAGGATTAAAAAGAAATGGAAAAAACCCTATTGAAACACTAACCTGGAGTTGGTGTAACATAATGATCAGGTGTTAGTAACAACATTGTTGAGAATACTCCGTTCTGTCTTCCTAGCCTAGTGAAATATTTAAATAGATTTTTCTTCTTTTTAAAATTTTTTTTCCTTATGTTATGTAGGTAAGTCAGAAGTGTCAGGCTGAGATATCTGTAGCTAAATCTAGTGAGACTAAATAAAATGAACAGGCTGTAGTCTTGAAGAACTACATGACTGGCAAGGCTGTTCTCTGCTGCAGCCAGAACTCCTGTAGCTTGTTCCCAGTTGGAGGCTGTATCCGCTGTTCGGTATCTGGGTAGCGTGTATGGGCAGCATCGGTGTGGTGGTAAGAACCAATTGTTTTAAGTAACACTTTCATTGAGCAATGGGCTCAAAATGTGTTTGAGATACAGGCTCTTTTTATTTTATTTGATAGCTGTGTCAGTGTTATTTCTGTATTGTACCTCTAAAGTGCCGCAAATCATTGTTGCAAATGTGGTTCATGGTAGATGAAGTGGTTTGTGTTTTATGTTCCGCTAAAAACTGGCAGCAGGGTCAGGCAATTTTACCAGAAGAGGTAAATTATATGCTTTCATAGCTCAGAGAGAGGGAGAAAAATCACACCACATACATTTGCTGTGGTTAATGTCCACTTTGGGGATAAAATTAATTTTTCATGCATGTTTTGAGGAGGCAGAGTTGAAACTCTTAGCATTTTAATGTCATTGGGGGATTGTTTCAGCCTCTAGCTATGTTAAATGGGACTAATAATTTCAGCTAATCAGTGTCTAACAACTTCTGAAAAATGGAAACTAGTTTAGGAGTGATGTAAAGAGAAGTTTTCCACATTAGTGGAATGTTAGGCAAATGCTAATGATCTTCGTACAGTTTCCACTTGTGTTTAGAGAGAGGGTCTCTTAAGGTCACCACAAGAAGTAATGAGTCCCACTCTAAAACAAATTGTGAAACCCTGTATTTGTTTCTAAATTTCAAAAAAGGGATATGGATGTCATGTGAAACATTAGTCACTGAGTTTGTTTAAAAAATTTTTTTATATGACATTTTTGTTTAAGAAATCTTCTTTACAGAAAATAGCTTTGCAGCTGAAAGTAAATCTAGAAATGACTAGTGAGGCTGTGGAACTTCAGGCTGATGTTTAGTGAGTCTTTTAATGGTAGTTTTTATCCACCTGAGACAACATTGGCATCAAGAAGTCTTCAGATCTCCACATGGTATCGTCATGGGTAAAACTTTTAAAGGACAGTAGCTTTCATTTTCATCAGTAGATTTTTTTTTTTTGAGGGATGCTCACACTTATTTCATCAGTCTCCTACTGCTGGGCCAAATCCTACCTTAGTGTGTCACGTGAATGCATTCTTTTAATTTTTCCTCTAAAGGATTCTTTCATTTTTGTTACTCTTGGGGCTGATCTGTGATTAAAAATCATTCTTCTTCAAAAAATATTTGATGGAGGACCAAGAGCTTCAAAAAGAAAAGGTAGGAGAGACCCTATGTTTTCTGTAGTTTGGCTGCTCCTTTCTTTAGAAACTCTGGATCTCTAAATCCAGCTTATACTTGAGGGTCCCTGCTAGTTACACTGGAAAAACAAACCCAGAAAAACTTGCCATGGTTTGCTCAATAACTCAATTCTCAAGTTATTTGTATTATTGTTAACTGTTCATTCACAGCTCTGTGCATCTATGACACTGTCTTAAGTTTCTTCTTCCTATCAGTTTGAGGTTAGTCTTTTTAAATGCACCTTTAGGCATGAAGGGGGTATATTGTTGACCTCAAAACCCATTGCTTTTCCTTATCTGCTATATAATTGTATAAATAGTTAATTATTTGTTTACATCGTAAGAGAAAACAATTGGTTCCTAATCAAACCATCAGGCCATTTAGCATATCCAGGAAACTTGCTAGGCATCAGATTCTGATGTAAACCTTTGAGCTCCAGGACACTTTCATATGATGAATATTTGTCTTTAACATCCCTTTAACAGCCCGTTAGTGCTCAAAATGAGTTTTTAGCAAGCACTGATATGTTGTTGTGTTTGGCGGGAGTGGTGGTTTTGTTTTTTAATTGGAGAATTAAAAGTGGACATGATAAATAGCATGAAAAGGCTTTTTTATAGGATATATCAACCTGGGATTTCTTTATTCTCCGAGCCTAAAGGTAATGTGCAAATACCTGGATGCCCGTGCGTAATGCAAGGTGCCTTTTGATGCTCTTACTCCAGGCTTTTGAAACTTTGTCATTCATTCAGTACCAAAATCAGTAACTGGTATTTTTTTTCTGTACGTAAAATAAAGCAGTAGTATTGTTATCCACCCTTAGTCATAATCCTCCAATGTTGGACTATCTTGAGGATTTTTGGACATTGTTTCATCCTTAATGAATCTATTGTATGTTGCACATATTTTTACTGAGTTATTTTAGAGTAAAACAAACATGGTATTTTTCACTTCTGTAGCGTACTTGACGATCAAAGAAAGGCAGAAGAAATGGTCTTATGTCTTTGGCAGCAAGTCTATAGGCCTTGCAATAGCCAGTGCCGAAATATGAATGTGCTCTAATTCATGCAATGTGCTGAAATCAACTTGTTTTGTGGATGAAATAAAATACAACCATTCTTACTAGCTTTCTTTTAAGTGGAATGTAGTGATAAAAGAATACTTTTCTTACTTTCGGAACAGGGTTCCAGATTTTGTGAGGGAGAAGCGTTTTGGGAACTGGCTTAAAGACGCAAGAGATTGGGCTATATCTAGAAACCGGTACTGGGGAACACCCATCCCTTTGTGGGTCAGTGACGATTTTGAAGAGGTGAGTAAGAAAACAAAGGTTTCCAGTTGACAGAAAAGCGTATTTGTATATGTTGTTTGCTTGTTTTGATAGGCTGTTATATCTTCAGCTGCTGCAGTCTTAGGTTCTATTAAGGTCTTAACAGTATATGTATATCTATAATAGGTGATAGATTATATGCATATGTATGCATGCATTTGCGTGCACATACATGTTTTCTTTGCTTTTGCTTGAAAACTGCAAGCAATTTTTCTTGTTTTTGTATTAGAATTGATTTTACCTCTCCTGGAAGAATTTGCGGTGATAGTAAATCTAATGGAAAAAACAAACACAGTGAGAAAATGGCAAGGACGAGATTTTTTTTTTTTTTTTTTTTAAACTCAGTTCTTTCAGTCTGTTTTTGAACTTCTGATGCACGGTTACTTCAAACCAAATGAATTGCTGAAGGCATAAAAGCAAGTCCACCATAGTAGAACAGTGAAAATATATATTTGTAGTGCTACAAATGTGAATGTAACAGACTGTAAAAATGTGAATCTAGTGGAATGATGAAAGTGTATAATGGGAATGCTAGAAATGAGTTTTTTGAAGTTGTAAGGTACTGTGCAGTTGGTAGCATAAAGCTAACTGCATAAGTGAATACTTTACACAGTTTTGATGACTGCTGTTTTCTAAGTGTCAAAACGCTAAGTTTTAAAACTGTTTCTGAAGATAAATTTTTTTTTCTGTGTGGGTTAGTTCCATTAGATACGTATAAGTCCTTCCTCATGCTGGAAATAGGAAATGCTAATCAGGATGGCTAGTCAGGATGTCCATGGAAGGTAAATACTGATGGCAGCATCCCAAGCCTCTGTTTTTATCTCCCTTGATTTGAAAAAGTTTTTTAATTTTCGTTTTGGACGTGGAAGACCTCAAATAAGAAAACATATGCCAGAAAAGTATTTTGTTGTCTTAAACTGCACTATTGCTTAGATGTGCACCATAAAGCATATTTTATTTCCTCTTTGTTGGAAATCTTGCTGATAGGCAGGGAAATATTGGGGGAGGGAGGGAGTTACTCGTTGCAATTACGATTTAAGTATCTAAGAAAGCCTTGGCATTTGAATTCTATTTATGCTATAAGCGTGTTTGTAAATTACTGACAAACCAAGTGTTTGTGTCTCTCCATATAATAGTTAATTTTTAACATTTATTCAAAATTTTTAGGTATAAACTGTCAGTCTTCAAACTAAACTTTAAGTCCCTTGTTTTTAGATAGAGAAAAGGCTTTGTTTTGTGCTGAAGTATTTCAAGACTTCATTCTACAGCTGAAAAAGGTTGTGTAAAGGTTACATTATTCCCACTCCTTGCCTGTAATAATATTTTGTTTTCTGTCCAGTCTCCCAGTGTCTGTATTCCTGTGTGTACAGATTTTTTTTCTTTTTCAGGTTTGATTTGTTTGTTTTTAATAACAATATGATGTCTAGCTTGGAAGATTGACCTTTCGTTTGGAATTAGCTGCAAATATTCCTCAGGGCTTGGTGTTCTGAATAATGATAGAAATACCAACAGATCTATTACTTTTATCTGTAGATGTTATACGTTTCTGTTTACTCTAGGGTCTGAATGTCATGCTTCGATAGCTGAGTGTGGCTTCTGGACCATGCTAAATTTCAAGTTAAGGTTTTTTTAATATTCACTCTCTCTTTTTATTCATGTGGGATGTAGCTTAAAAACTAAATACTATTGGAACTGATGTGGAACTTAAGGCATAAGTAACATCTGCTCTCATATAGAAATAATATTCACGCAAAATTTCCTGTCTTCAGTTTTACTGCAGTCTAGTGCCATGAGATTGCAGAGCCTCCTCTTCATGTCTTGTTCTCAAAAGAACACTGTGTCGCATGCAATTATGCGGTGCGTATTAAATCCTGGAGAAGTAATAACGGTTCCTTATTTAATGTACAATAAGGTGAATTAATTGGTATTAAAGTGAATTTTATTACAAATTAATATCTGGTTTCCCACAGTTTTATTTTAGCTTTTATTTTAGTTTCATTTTAGTATAATTATCAGGTAGAGACGCATAATGGAAGTTAAATTTTGAAACTTGTGTTTATTACTACATTTTTGCAGACAGTTTATCATTTTAAGCTCTCAAATCTCAACGATTTCCTCAGTGGAGGAACACATCTCATTTGGATTAGATAATAAAATTCTTTAATACAGCACCCAAGTTGATAAAGCGGACATAGGTTAATTTTATAGGACTTGCATACAAATTATAGTATTAGATATTCGGTAATGTTACAGAAATTCTCTGATTGTTTCGTTGCTTGTCACTCACGTAAACTATTAACCCTCCACTGGTTTCGGTGCACCCAGTCTTGCGTAACAGATTTGTAACAAGAGCGCTCTGGTTGTGCTCTCCTGAAGGGTGAGGGAACTTCTTTAGTCTGTTTCCAGTTGTCTTTGAGGCTGCATTAAGAATGCCACTTCTAGCTGACCTTAGCAATCATTTCTTTTACTAATTACTATTCAGAAGATGCTTTCTAAAGATCCCAGAATGTCTTGCTGATATACCCTCCATGGACTTTTTTCTTTCTATGAACACTCCTCATTCTTCAATTATAGGTACTTAACAGAGTTGAAATGACAAACCAGTAAAAGCAAACACTTTTACTTAATACGGACTGCAGAACTATGCCACAGGAACATTGAGGTCCACAAATACTGCTGGGTGGCTTTATTCTTCCTATTTACATGGATATCCTGGATATAATGCTAATGTTCATTTTGCTAGAAGCATTTAACCTTGACCTCTGATTTCACATTAGGTCTCAGTGATGCTGAAACAGGGTTGAACAGCCCGCAGTCCCAGCCTATGTATTTCAGTCTTTGCTGTCTGCTATTAAATGTTGATATAGCTGGGTTTGTAGTTGATGTGGCTGAAAAATAAAATGGAGGAAAAGGGGCCAGGCTACTAAAGTAGACATTGCTGTGGAAGAAATGTATCCGAAGCCATAGCTTTGATTTGAGATCATAAACCCGTTTGTTCCTTGCAGAAACGATTGGGTGCGGCCTAATGAGGGATCAGATTTGATTAGCATCTACTTGCCGTATTGTTCTCTTTCCTTCAAGTATCTAATGAGCTACCCTTGGAGTAGCTGCATCCTTCTGATTTGGACAGAGGCAGTCTTATTCAGGATGGTGCTATCTGCGTTCCTCTGGTGGTTGTTGGATTTTTCAGGTGGACTTGGGGTTATTTATTCTATGAATATGTTCTGCTGGGTGCAGTTCTGCAGATGCACCCAATATTCAGAATCTTACTTGAGTATTGAAATGCTTGGTTCAAAAAGCAACAACTTCTAACCCAGCAGCTTCTAACCCAGACCAAAGTGTGAAAGTATGTTCAAATATTAAGGCTAGCAAAGATGAGGTAATCAGTGTATCCAAGGGTATTTTTTACCCATGCTGCTATTAAAACCTTTTCTTCTGCCAGCAGTAGTGAACTAAGCACCTGCTGCCTGCGCGCTTGAGCTTGTACGATTGCTTATGGGGCCACATGGTGAATGAAGAACAGATCTTGATTAAAATTGGTTTGTTGATAAAGGCGTATTTTTAACTGGGATCAATCCCCTGGTGTGGTTTGCTATGCAAACTGCAGACTGTTGTATTTGACTATTGTAATCATTGTAATGCTTCACTTCCTATAGAAAAATAAGACAAATAGTTAAGTAATGAAAAAATTACACTTCAAAAGTACTTTAACAGTAAAAGATAGTGATTAGTAATGCAGATCAGCAGTTGAATCAGACTAGGAAAATCATGGCTTAAAAACCAAATCAGACTGAGTTTCTATCTTCTCTGTAATTCATGACAGGTTTTTTGGAATTAAATACAGCGAAACTTTTTGGTTAGTCACAACTTCTGTGTGCATACATATGCATGTATTTAAGACTAGCTATAGGAGTTGAGCAGTACTCTGACTTATTGTATCCTAAGAGCAAGTTAGAAAGTTATCTTATGTGAAAAATGCCTAGCCTACTTACAGCTTCTTTATGTTGGTACATTTAACTTCTTCCCTGTCAGATCTGTCAAAAACCAGTTTTTTCCATGGCAATTCTAAACTGGACTGATAGCATGTGGGACTGGATCTCCAAAATCCAGACCCGAACTGCAGCTTGTGGTTCGTGAATCCTGCCAGATGAGAGAAGGCCACAGGGCTCTGGGAGGGTTAAACTTGATTAAAACATAAAGCAGAGAAAACTTTGCTTTTCTCCTTTTCTCCTACATAATTTTTCAGAATCATTTGTTTCATCAACATTTTATGATGTCGATGCAAGTCTGTGCCAAAACTTTTTGCTTTTTTCTTAGATAGTGTTTGATGCAATAAAAACAAGGAAAGTCTGTATCTTTCTTAACCACTTTGTTAACTGTGACACTTTTTTTTCCACTTTAAGATGGATTAATATGAACAGTTTAATGTACCTGGGATGGAACACTTATACTCAATTATGAGCAATTTAGCTGCTTACCTTCGCTTCAGAAGAGGAACCTGGAATCTGAAACTCCTATCTGTATAAAAGTCAGGATCATTTAATTTTCAGAGGTGATTGTGTTGTGGGTTGTTTGAAAACAAACAAACAACAAAAAAACAAACCCAAAAAAACCCCCAAACAAACAAAAAATAACCCCAAACAACAAAACCCCACCTTTTTTGATATCTGACACCATGCTTGTTCTTCAAATTATTCTCCAGTTATTCTGACATGAATTGTATTATATCAGGGCAGTGGTCTCTAACATCATTTGCTGCTTTGTTAGGTTGAAGAAGGGGACCTTCTACAAAATTTTTGTTGGCTTTTCAGCTATATCAGCTACTTTAGAAGATACTGGCTCTGTCTAACGTTAACAAAAATTGGTACTGGTGAAAATAACTGACTAAATTTCTTGAGTGTCTCTTACAGGTAGTTTGTATTGGTTCAATGGCAGAATTGGAAGAGCTGTCTGGAGTAAAAGTCACTGATCTTCATCGAGAAAGGTCGGTCACAGAGACTGTTAACTAGTTATTAAAAATAGTTGAGCAGACATAAAAAATACTGGTTTTCTTTGCCCAAACCCTGGGAAACAGATTTGGGGAAAATAGAAAAATAGTAAGAGGACTTGCGATTAACATGTATAAATTTTCTTTTCTTCTGTCTTGGACACTGTTAATACAAAAAAATCTCTAAAATAGCTTTACATTATAAAAATTGTCAAAGGAAATGCTGACCTTTTTGAAGAATCATTAAAATTAAAACCAAAACTCCTGTCATATCTAATGTGCAAGCATAACATTAACTTTTTGTGCAAATTCTTGTTTTGATTTAGAATTTGTCAATCTTTTTCTTTCCCGTAGTATTGATCACCTAACTATCCCTTCACACTGTGGCAAGGGCTTACTGCACCGGGTCCCTGAAGTTTTTGATTGCTGGTTTGAGAGTGGAAGCATGCCTTATGCGCAAGTCCATTATCCATTTGAAAACAAAAAAGAGCTTGAAGATGCTTTCCCTGCTGACTTCATTGCTGAAGGCATTGACCAAACCCGAGGATGGTAATTTTCTGCCACTTTATTGTGATATTATTGCCCTGCGTCTTACACTATTACATCTGGATGATCCTTTAATGTTGTATAGATAAGTGTATGGTTTTGATTTTTTTTTTCCAGTAAAATGCACGGTATTCTAAAGCTTGCTGACAAAAATGTTGCAGAAAGGCGACATGTTAGCAAGCAATCTTCCTGGCTCTTGTGGAAAACATCGTTAGGTAATAGGGCAGATCTTTGGCCAGGTAAGGAAGAATCTCAGCAGCTGAATTATCATAGAACTTGAGTTACCCACTAGAAACAAAACAGCAGTTGAGTTAATTGAAATGGAAGTACATTTTTTGAGGATTTCAAGCCAATGTATAGGCTAGTAATTTTTGCTCCCTAGATTAAATTTGCATTTTGGGTTTATATGAGTGGGGAAGAAACAAATTAATTCAAACCTTATGTTGTTAAGATCTTATAGTTTACAAAAATCAAACTTTGTAACTGTAAACTTCATCTGCTTATTTGATTCCTTTCTGAATAAATGCTTTTCAATCATTGATGAAAACTTTTCTCTAATCTCAGATTTTCTCTGGGTGATGTTATCATACATACATGCATGCATACATACAGTTTTAGTTTGGGCATTTTTAAGTGTTTATTCTATTTTTGAAGTTTGAGGCTGGCTGTGAAAACTGACAGATTTTTAAGATGAATTTCTGTGTTTTCTAGATTAGTACATTTGACTATGTACAAGTAAAACTCTTCCATCCAGTAACTTGAGTTATGAGAGTTAAACTAAATTCCTCTGGAGCATAGTTGGCACCCCCCTTTGCCCACTTCTCTACTCCCCCAACAAACCAACCAACCCAAACAGAGCGGTAAGAGGTGGGCTTTTGCATGTTTGTGAAGTTGAGAGCAAGGTTTATACATACTCTCAAAGCCAGGTGGCTTGCGCAAGGAAACATTTGAGGCATGACGCTAAATAAAACTAAGTTTCATGAATATAGAGAAAGGTGTCTTCACTTTGCAACCCTTTACTTGTGATGCGAAAAATTATCTAGGTCCTCGAAACAGAAGTTATATTTGCAAGTTTGGCAGTCAGGGAGGGACCACTTAAGTCTCACTTAGTGAAACATGGGCTTGTCATGGCATATTAAATGCTCTTCAGAATATAGCTGCACCTTACCTAGTTAGTGCTATGCGTCATGTTTGTAATGGGTCCTCAAAGCAGTACTTCACATAGGTCAGAATTAGGGCAACCTGATGAACTTAGTTAAAACTGGCCTCTTGCATATATAGCGATTTTTTTTTTTTTTTTTTTTTTTTCTTTTTTTCTTCCAAAAGTAGTCTTTGTTAGGCCATCTGTTTGTGTTCATCTTTAACTTTGTGCTCTCCACAACTGTTTATCATGACATATTAGTCATGGTGCTTTTCAGTGTTAGTATACAACTAAGTACTGTTGAGTAGCATGAAACCCAGCAGTAGAGGGACATACTGTTCTCATTTGCAGGTCACTATTTTGTGCTTGCTGCTCTTCAAGCAGTGTTGGATCCAGTATATACAGTGAACCCTACGTTTCTTCATTTACTTTTTCTTTACTGTTGCATATAGCATGTGGATACAGCACTGTTAATTTGACAAATGCTAGTTTAGGAAATATTAAATATAAAATGGAATGTTATATACTATATTATATTTAAATAATACCTGTTTCATCTTGAAGAAAAGTGATAGGTTTTGTTTATCTGGGAGAAAAACTGCTTACTCTGCAGCAGCTGTGCTTTGGGGACCGGGGGAGGCCAGTACAGTGTTAGAATGAAGAAGGAATAGAGAAAAATAGCTTGGAAGTTTGTAATACTAGTGATTCCATGTATTAGTCTTTCTGCAGCATTGTTCATTGTGCCCACGAAAGGAGAATTAAAAACTTAGTTTTCCCTCTTTTTTTATTTTTTCTTTCTATCTGGAAAAAAATCAGAAAACTCTTTTTTTTTTTTTTTTTTTTTTTAAGAAACGAGGCAAAAAAAGGAATACGTGATAAAGACATATAAAATGCATGCAAAAGGCACAGTCAGAAACTGATTTTCTCCCTGCTACCTTTTATAAAGATAAAAGGGCATTTATTGTAATTTAGATGCCAAAAAATGAAAACAAATTAAAAAAATTCGACAACATGTAATCATTCTTACACTGTGCAAGGGAGCTACTGAATTGTAAATGTTCAATAGAATTAAAAATGGTTTGGGATTTTTATGTGGATACAAAATCTATTCCTGATAGTTACAATTCCAGTAAAAATATAGGAGAAATGATAAATTTTAGGTTTCGGGGTTAGCTGTTTGAGATTGGGATGTCACAGTGGATTAGTATGTGTCACACACTTACTGCAGTGTTTCTTTTAGTGCTATCCTTTGAAGCATGTGTGGGAGACATGACAGATTAAAAGATAAGTCTGATCTCATACGCGTACAATGAAACTCTCTAGTGCCATTAAAGAATGCATTTGTAATTTTTACACAAGTAGGCCTTTTTATAGTATCATATTAATCTAAACTTGAGTGCAGTGCCACATCCAGATCTGCTATCATGTTTCCAGTTTATAACGTTTTTTCTTTTTTAAATAGTAAATGTAACCTGTGGATAAGCGGCGGCTTTGCCTTTCCTTAGTAGGCTGAACTGAATCATCTCACTAATTCAACTGAAGATTGGCCCTGGAAAAATAACAAGAGAAGTCCAAGCTGATGCTAATGCCAGCGGTGACTGTGGTTGTAGCCATACACCTGCTGTGCTTGGGTTTGAGCCCACACACTTGTGTTCTGTGCTGTAGGCAATGTGCAAATGGAGACTTTCACATTACAATCTGGAGTAGATTGCTTTTTGTTTTTAACTTCAGCATAAGAGTTACTGTAAGTCTTCACCATAGCCAAGTCTGTCTCATCTGTTTGTGGGTGGAATATCAAAACACTTGCCTCAATACATGATGCTTATACCTTTCCCACGGTGCTCATGTCTGTTAATAAGCTGGTGCTTTGATAACAGCTAGTGTTCTGTGATTTGCAAAAGAGCACTTTTGTTTTGTGAGAGAAAGAAGGAATTAAGATGTGAGGTGGTGGGTATTTTTGGTAAAAGGTAAAGCTGTTTCAAGCTGTTCTGAAGAAGGGTTCTCATTCTAAAACTGCTAGGCTTTTAGTTACCTTTTCCCAAGTCTTGTTAAAAATGAGGATATTTTGAAGAGAAGACACATGTATCTTTCTGCTAGTATGATAGCACTATATCGTACTAGGCCTAAGTGAACAACAAGCTGGTGAGTTCTGAAGTGTTAAGAGCATAGTATGTGATTTTTATTTGAAGCATTCTGTATAAAGTGTTAAGATTCAGAATGAAGATTGATTTTGTGTCAGGTCAGAGACTGCAGCTGATGTGAAGTGAGGAGTGGTAGGTGGTGAAGGGCTCAGGAGGTGGAGGTCAGGTGGCTTCAGTTTGACTCAACAGAGAAGGGGAGAAAGTCAAGGGAGACAAGGGGAAAATTAATGTGACCAAGGTGATGAGCTAGGAGAGTGATCTTTTTGATGACTTTCTGCACAGATATGTGAAAGAGCTGAATTATATTTGTTATGGCCAAAGGAAAAAAATCTTACAGTAGTTGGGTTGCAAGACTGGCAGTCTGGACAGATCGGTAGGAAAGGCTCTATCTCTGATTGTATATAGGGAGATGCCACAAGATTTATAGTCGTGGTCAGAATGTGGTGGCCTACAGCAAATTCACGGCTGAAGGTTTTTGGCATGAACCACAAGATTATGAATCTACCCACAATTGTTCAAAAAAGGAGTAAGCAGGGAAGGAATGCTTTCTCCCCTTTCTCCCTTTTTGGGGAGTGGAAGAGGAGGGAAGAAGAACAAAGTGGACTTCTGTCTCTGTGGTGTTAAGGTTTTTTTTACTATTGTTTTGGCTGACAGCTATGTATCTGCAAGGACATAACTAGAAGCAGACTGAGATTTGGTGAATGGAAGATGAAGCCGCAGAGATAAGTCGAGGAAGTTGTCAGAAACAAATGTGTCTATGGACAAGATATTTAAAAAATAATGTGCAGAGAGACACTTCTTTAAAATATTCAGAGTGAATGAGGTGAATTTTTTTAAAAGGATAATCTGAGAAAGAATGAGAAGAGTTATGTCAGGATGGCATGTAAACCAGTGGATCACAGGATGTCAAAGACAGTCTTGTAACTGTCATCAACTAAGGTACCTCACTGCTGAGGCTCATCAGGTTCGACAATGTAAATAGCATAAAATTTGTGAAAAGTTCTTGGATGTATTTTTTCAGAGCCCACAGTCCCTCTGTACAGTTTTCCTAATACAAGCAGTATTGAAATCTCTTCTTGTTGGTTCTGCTTTGTTCTTTTTAATTGGAAACGCACCTGCTGTATATGAGAATTGTTTGCAGAAAGTGATGGGAGTTTGTCAATAAGGTACCTTCATATTAAATACTAAAGAAGTACTGCTGTGTTTGTCATGAACTGTCAGTCTTGTAGGCATGAGGTGTCGATCATCTGAGCAAATGCTCAGATGTTTGTGTTTAGGGGTTTTCTTAAGAAAGTTAGAAATGAAGATGGGGATTTTGAGTGCATGTGTTTGTGTGCAGGTGGAGGAGTGTTGGTTAAAATTAATGAAATCACAATGCAATTTAATAAAGAGAATTTGTATCCTGCAGTGTGAATTGAGGTGATTTTGAGATTTAAAAGCCTGAGAGATAAACATCAGAGTTGTCATGTAAGCCACTTAATAAATGCAGTAATGCATACAGCAACTTTTACAGAGCTTTGGACCCTCAAATGTCAGAATAATGCTTTTGCAATTAAAGGCAGCTTTTTGATAAAAACTACTTTGGAATATACAGATGGACCTTTGTTTTTCCCCAATAAAGTGTTTCTCTACTAAATCTTCATGCAAATATATAGTTCTGAGGCACAACCTCCTGTGCCTTATTCTAAATCAATTAGCTTTTGTATAATCATCTGCTGTTTTAAGGTTGCTAAGCAATTGTCAGTGTGATACTCACTTTTAACCAGGAAAACAGTGGCCCACCCTCCAGTTATTTTCTTAGAAGTAATTACCGGCAGTGCAGTTACAGAAACTTATAGATACCTCCTTTGGTGAAGGTTCTGACTCTTGAGTATGAAATTACCACATAATCTTGCACCTCCACTTAATTTCTCAGATATAATCATGTATCGACATATTGAACAATAGGTGCCTTTGCTTGCTCCAACACTGATTTCTTAAGTGTCCTAGATAGTCTGTACAGGTATTTTAAACACATCACATGGAGGGGGGGAACCCCCTACTGCCCTTTGTTGTGGGGAACACCTGCATTCTCCTATTTTCTAGTGATGGCTAATTTAACCAGCTAGTAAGTTTGTTTGATCGGAAGGAAGCTCTGCTTACTTTTGCTAAGTTGCTTTCATGCTCCCAGCACTAACTGCTCAGTTGTGTGCTAGGTTGAAGAATACACTCACACACACGCCCTCTCACACACACACCATGTGTGCCAGTCCTGTCTGCTGTGTTTGTTCCTGGCTGATCCTGTGTTCAGAGGTTGATAGTGAGCAAATAGGAGCTTGTTCAGGGACAGAATTCTCCTTTCTTTATTAAAGGGGAAAATGCTACAATTCCGTTCTTCACGACCTTCCTAATGCTTACTATTACAATTTTTCAGCCTTCTTGGACTAGTAGATCACAGCTGAGCAAACAGCACGATACGCTACAGAGAGGAAAAAGATCTGCTTACAATAAGCTCCTCTTCTGAGTCTTTGCTACATAAATGTTCCACATACTTAAATTTTAACTTTGCTAGAGTAAAACAACATAATGAAAAATTTCTTTTGTAATGAAAGACATGCAGACTTTAGCTTGGCGTATTTAGAAAGTCATGTTTATGTTGTCTTTTTTTCCAGGTTCTACACTTTGCTGGTGCTGTCCACTGCTCTTTTTGGAAGACCTCCTTTCAAGAATGTAATTGTGAATGGCCTCGTTCTTGCCAGGTTGGTATGTCAGTCAGTTCTTTCCTGAACGGATTTTTAGTCATAGAATGTTTCAGATAAGTCCCTGCAAATTGTAAATTAAATCTGAAATGGACTTTGGAGCTGTTAAGACTTGTCGGGGAGATATCGCTATTGCAGGAGGTAAGAGGCACCTGAGACCGTGAGGTTTATGCACCCCAGCTATCTGTTGCACTAGATTCTTTCCAGCAGGATTAGTCCTTCCTAGAGAGAGAAAAAATGAGTAACAAGTCAGAATAAGAAAGAAATGATACCTTGTATGCAGAGTAAAGGGGATTATAAATGTAGTTTTAGATGTAATTTTAAAGAAGTTAATTATATTTGTTTCACTTTATTTTCAAATAAAGCTTTGCCAGTGGGCTGGAGGGATTGATTCAAAACAAGTGCATCTTCACTCGGCTTTGGTAGGAAAGACAGGTTTTCTGCTTAGATTTGTAACTTGGGAGCCTCTTGGGTGGGTTGGTTTGGTTTGGTTTTTTTTTTTTTAATTCCCCAGTTGCTCTTGCGGGTTCAACAGTCATACTGAAATGATGTGCTAATATATAATTATGTCTATGCTACCAAGAGCATAATAGGACAGAAAAATTAAGCTGGATTTGAAGGGCTTTTTTTCTTTATCCATGTATTACAAGAATTCTGAGAATTTATGCCTACATTCTGGTATTTTCTAGTGATGGCCAGAAAATGAGCAAAAGGAAGAAGAATTATCCCGATCCAATGAGTATTGTAAATAGTTATGGAGCTGATGCACTAAGGTAGGATTTCTTTAATTAACATACAATCTGATATGTTAGCTTTCTGTTCATAGCAGACATGAACCAGGAGGGATGCTTACGGGTTTTTGACAATTAGCAGTAGGAAGAAAGTTAATTTTAGAAACTTCTAGACCACTATGGCAGCCAAATAGCTGGAAGAGTGGATGACTCAAAAGAATTGGCAATAGTTACAGTGCCTGGACTTTCTATACCCTTGTCTTATCTCCCTCAAGGCTTGTAACAACCAAAGCTGACATGCTGACTGGAGGCCTTTTGTCAGAAAATGTGTGTCCAGTTTGTACAGAATGCTTCCACTTGAGCCAGCACTGTCTGCTATTGCAGCTAATAGTCTGAGTTGACCCAGTGAAAATTTGAATAAAGTCTTTGAGAACAATACTATTAGTTTACTGTTAAATCTTTATTTTAGGAAAGGATTACTGTATAATGCACAGAAATGTTTGTTTGCGGCTTATACTATATATTTTCTAAACAGAAAGTGTTTCTTTTTTGTTCATGTAAGTATACAGTATGTACCTAATAGTGAAATCAGAAAAGCAGAAGTGGAGCTGCCTAATGTGTATATATAAATTGTCCTGATCAAACAGAGATTAAACACAGTTCAAGTGTTTCATTAAAATTATACTGACGTATAAATGTAATTATGCAGTCACCTGGTACTTTGGCTAGATGCACTAACTGCATGCGTGAAGTGGTACCTTGAGGTAAAGGTACAATAAAGACATTTTAATAACTGCAGGAGTACACTACTTATGCATTTCTCAAGAGCCCTGTAATTCTTGCTGTATATAAGAAAACCTTAAACTATTACACACATTGAATTGCATGTTGCAACTCTACATGGTCATAGTTGGGCTGAATGAAAGCGTAGTGTACCATGGTTTTTTGTTATTTGAGAAAGATGGTTGTTGCTTGTTCTAGATAATTTAAAAAAATAGATGTGAAGTTCCTTATTGTTTCAAGCTTTAGCATTTAAAAGACCTAGTAAATTATCTTCTCATATATGTTTACAATGGAGAGTTGGGTGGATTTCTTAACTTTGATCATGATTGTTCTTTACAAATAATCAAGATGTATTAGCAGAATATCAGTGAATTGGTGGCTGGAACAATATGAGTGAAAAGGGTTGGAGTTATGCATATTGGAGATTTTTAAATCGCAGGTGATGTTTCTGTTGAAAACAATCTGCCTTTTTTATAAAACAAAACAAAAAATCTGAAACACCAGAAGTTACACTTCCATTATTAATGTTTTTTTGATTTCTAAAAAGCTAATTCATTTTTCTGCCTGTGTACTCATTCTTTAATGTCACGTTTATTTATACATACACCCACATAGAGAGTAAAAAGCATTGCAGACTAGGTTTATTTATGGAAGGAGCTCTGCGATTCACTTGTCTCTGCTTATTCACTGAAGCACTTGATCTGTTCTGTTTATAGAAAAAACTACAACTGAGGTTTTTTTTCCTTGGCACCGTTTTCCTTGCAGAGTTACTTTAGCTTTTGCTGTATGTATATGCATATATATAGTTTTTAACTACAGCTCTGAAGTATTCTCAGCAATAGCTTGATAAATAGATCAGCAGAAAAAATATATATAAAGTTGTTTAAATGAATATGGAATTGAATGGAAGGGGTGTGAAATCTGTAAGAATTGTCAAAACCAGTTATATTGCAATATTCCTAAGACCTATGACTTGGGTTGGATAGTTGTCAAAGTTGAATTATGTCAGAAAGAGAATTTGCTGGTACAGTATTTACAAGCCCTTTGCTTTCATGTATCCTGAGGTAAGTATTGCTGTTAGAAGTGATGTGTTACATTCTCCTCTCAATCTGTTCTTAAAATGCAGAAGAAATAACATAACGCCACAGACTACTGTTTTAGAGAGTTGAAAAGGAGGTTACTTTATTGTTTCTCATACATTGTTAGAAAACTTGATAATACTGGCTTGATTTGAGGAAGGTTTTATTTTCTGCCTAATGGGTAATATCATTAGGTGTAACTAAATTGATAGAACTCTTCCTTTATCGGGTGCCTTATTTCTCTTTCCATATAATAGATGTAAGTATCTTTGCATTGGAATAATTAAGGAAATTAGTATTACTTTAACATTTACATATTGTAAGGCAGTGCAAGGCTGCTATGTTAAAAAGAAAACAACAAAAAAAAACCAAAACAAAAAAACCCCAAAAAACAGAACTGTAGCCTTAGAGAGCTATATTTTCTTTAATTTCTCATGCTAAGACCTATTTTAAGAAGATTTCTGATAGATTCTGCGGCGAGTGCTGCTGAAGTGGGTGCAAAGGAGCAATTTAGCGGCTCCTTCATAGTTCTGACTAGTTTGCATTGCTGCCTCCTCAGGAGGAAAGCAGTGGAGGCAATTTGAAGTGGTCATTATTCTAGGCAAGTCCCAAACTGGTAAAAGTCCTGGAGTATCCTGGTGTACATTAGGGCCAGACTAGCTCTCATATTCAGAGCAAAGTTATATTTGACTTCTGAAATAAATAATGAGTAATAAGCACATAAATAATTGTGATGGGAGGTTTGGTTTAAATATATACTTATAAGTTCTAATTTCATTTAAGGACTTAGACCTACTTCATTATTATGCTAAATTTTTCTGTACTTCTGAAAATTTATAATTTGAATTCAGGTATCATGTTTAAAAATACTTTTTTTTTCAATACAGTACTGAAAATCATAGAATTGTTTAGGTTGGAAAAGACCTTTAAGATCATCAAGTCCAACTGTTAACCTAGCACTGCCAAGTCCACCACTAAACCATGTCCCTAAGCGCCCCATCTATGTGTCTTTCAAATGCCTCCAGGGATGGTGACTCAAGCGCTTCCCTGGGCAGCCTGCTCCAGGGCTTGACAACCCAATGCATGCGCATTTCTGTGTTGCATTGCTGTCTGTTTACTCTGGCTGCTCTATTTTTATGTATTCATTTTTATGCAAGAAGCCGTCTCCTGAAGAATTTATGGTCTGGTATTCTTGAATGTGCCGTGTCAAACCCCATTAAGATTTTAAAGCCTCCTGAAGGAAGTGCCTGTAAAGATACACTAGTTTAGAATCATGATTTTAAAAGTTGATAAAATGTGAGAAAATGAGTTAATAAATTTCTCTTGAGAAATGCCACAATATTTAAAATAAAAAAATGTTTGGTTTGTTTTTCATATTTGGAAAATTAAATAAATGTGTCTAAATCAAGTTTGTATTCAAGTTTTTTTGATACCTGAGTAAGACCTGGTTTCTTTTTGAGTTAACTTGATAGATACCAGTTTGTCTCCATAGACAGAATATTTGTTCAGGGAAGAAGATGGGGTAAAGTATAAAGATGATTTTTTGCGAATTCACAGCCAGCAAGGAAGCTGGGGGACATGTCTGTCTCTGAAATGAGGAACCGTTAGCTTGAGAGAGACTGACCCGAGGAGGATCTCCCTAGACAGGGTGGATTTCATGTATAGATGAACCTCCTGGGCTGAGGTGGGGCTGTGATTCTGCGAGGGGCAGCTTCTGATATAAGTAGTCAGCATCGCCTGAATCCTCTGCTTTGCTCTTTCAGAGCTGTTTCTAGAGCTGAGGCACATTTGTATTGGTAGGAGGTATATCTTTTGTCCTCTTTGGGGCTGTTTTTCTTGAAAACGTAAATTTCTGCTCTTTTACTTTGACTTGCCTGTATTACCTTGCTCCTTAGTCCTGTGTTTGCAAATGGGCCCAAAGCTTTTTATAATTGAGGAAATTAACTAGACTGAGTAGAAAGGTACTGTGTCATCGTTAAGGAATTAAAAATATTGTCGAAACAATAGGTGCCATTCTAAAGATGAACAATAATTCCATGCATCCACTACGTGGTTTATGCTGTGATAGCATCTGAGCATGTGTTATCACTTCAATTAACTTCTAGAGTAAAAAATAAAATTTAAATTCAAATTCAAATTCCATATGCTGTATTCTAAAAATAATCTTGTAGCACTAGGAAGTAAATTGTCTTATGTTCAATATGTTACATGCTTAGAATACTGTCTTCCTTAGAGTTCTTAGTGTGAAACTGCTCCCTTGGGTATCTTCCTCTTGCTATGCAGCTCTCTAGGGTTTACTGTATGTTTAAGTGCATTTCTATCAGTATATGCAGTCTTAAGTTTTTAAGTATTGTGTTCTTATTTTGCAGGTTATACCTGATCAATTCTCCTGTGGTAAGAGCAGAAAATCTGAGATTTAAGGAGGAAGGAGTAAGGGATATACTGAAGGATGTCTTCCTGCCCTGGTACAATGCATATCGCTTTCTTGTTCAGAATGTTCAGATCCTGCAACATAAGGTACAGATCTCTCGAGCATGGAAAAGCAAAGTGGAAGGGGCTTTGTGCTTTTTCCACTGTTAGAGAGAATTAGCATCGTAGAGAAATTTAGATTGGAAGAGAGGTCCGGACTCTGATCTGGAGGTCATCTGATCTTTGAACAACTGCCTTGTTCAAAGCAAGGCTGACTTCAAAGTTAGATCAGGTTGTATATACTTGCTGTTAATTTCTGTGTTATTTGCTGTTTGTACCCTGTTTTATAAAGCTATAATCACCCTGTATCTTTCTCTTCTTGACCAAGCTTACTATTATATAGAAAGGAGTAGTGGAAGGTAGGGGACTGTCAAGACATAACAGCTATCATTTCTCAGATTAGGGTGCTTTTGATTCCCTTTTATTTGAGATAAATGTGATGCTATTGCATTGATACTCTTGAAATTAGAGAACAAGAAAGGGACTTCGAGTTTGTGGGGTCAATACATACTAAGCAATTATCTGCTGCTAGTCACCTTGCTGGGAACCCTTGCTGGGAACACCAGTTAAAAGCCAGGTACCACAGGTGCTTGAGGGCATCCTTCTGAAATGTCCATACTAGGCCTTGTTGGTTTTCTAGTAATTGTCTTATCAGTGTTTGTGTAGTAGCTTGGAGGCAGTAGGTGTCACTAATACTGCCTTGAGTGCTGCTGCTGCTTTTTCTTTGCTGTTATCCCATGTCATGTAGTCAGGTATGGCCACATCGCAGGAAGGATGCCGTCAGAGGATGGCATCTGGACTGCAAGTTTCTCTGCACTGAGAACATTGCTTAATAGCATACAGATTTAACACAAAGAGAACTGCAAATAAGTGATGAAAAGAAAGTTATTTTCAGTAGCGGCTGCTGTGACAATTTCTTGAGCTAACTCATTTACTGTGACTTTAATTATGAATCTGCATAAAAATGTTTAACTTGGGAATTCTCGATATTGAATACATTAGCCACAGCAAGAAGATTGCCTTCTGTAACATGACAGTTCATTTTTTTAAAAGTTAAATTTAAATTTAAATACAACTTAGAAAAAAAAAAAATGAAGAAATGGAATGGGAAGAAAGGTAAATCATCATAAAAGCAATAATGCTTTAGACTTGCAGACTACATTTGAAGTCTACTAAAAAATGCTGGATGAGTGACATGAGTTTCTACACTTTCAGAATGAAAGCAAGATTAAAATCTCTTCCTTAGAGTAATTTTTCATTTAAATTGAAGATTTTGTGTGTATATTGTATAGTTTCTGTTGAAACCAATTTTAATCTTTCAGCTGAGATTAATGATAGAAGGTTACCACTTGTTCGTGCAGACTTCTATGGGAGAGTGGGAACTAAGTGATAAAGTCCAAACCTTGTACTATGCATGAAGTTACAGTTGCAGCCTAATCACTGTGGAGAGCTGCCATTTGAAGCAATAAAGGCAGCTGACTTCAATAAATAGTACAGTAAATAGCTGACTTCAATAAATGGTTTTATCTTTTTAACAACCCCTTTTGGGAATAAAGTCTGGTAACTTCAGATCCTAATATTTAACAAATCTTTTCTTAGGATCCCTAGACAGCATTCATCAGACAAACTTAGACATTGCCCCAGAAATATACTTCAGTTTTTCCTGTTTGACCTTTGAATTATCTAAAGTGTGCTTTGCAGCTTTTTGCTGTGATCCCATTAAATCTTGCAAGATCAGCCAAATTGGGTGTGGAAGACCCCAGTGGAAAATCCAGGTGCTTACGCAGATAGTTTTGGTAACTCAGCAGATGTAATTTTTCTTTCTAAATAGACAGTGAAACCGTTCCTGTGTACCATATTAGGCAAAAGAATGTGCTGTTGGAGGTGATAGTGCTTAAATTAGATTTCATGCACAGGCTTAAACAACTTTGTCATTGCATTCTGCCTCCTGCAAGAGAGAAACTACAATCCCAGTGTCCTGGATGAAGTCTAATAATAACTTTATGCTTACTGTATTTACCACAGTAATTGTAGTTGGTTAAATGACTGCTGACCTCACACTGGGATTGCTGGACTTCTGGGTGTGCAGATGCATTTCTTTGCAAAGAATCTTCTCCTTTACACTATGTAAGTGGATGCATAATTACTGGGTCGAATAATCCAAACAGATTTTTTCATCTGGCCTCTGAGAGAAGGGAAAGTCCAAAGACTTTAAAAACCAGATGTTAAATACTGTTTGTAAATATGGAAAAAGAAACAAACAAACAAACAAACCACTAACCAAAACCCCAAACCCCCTGTTTTCAACCAGTCATAAGAACGTTCACATGGAAAAGAGTCAGACTGTAGGCACTGACAAGTGTGCTTACTTGTGGCCTTGCTTGCAATGCCCTACAGAATCAGCAAAGTGTTATGAAATTTCTCAGATGGGTGCAAACATCAGTATTCTGGAAAGCAACAAAGTGCACTATAGGCATGTTGGATGCCTAAAAATTCCACCTGTTTTTTCAGGTTGTTATATTCTTCTATATTTTAATCTGTTGAAATTGTCACATGCTCTTTAAAAAAGAATTATATTGTTTATATGCCCTTTCCCCAAATAGAATGTATCATTTCTTGTAAATGCTTCAGATCCTCCTAGATGAAGGAGTTGCGTAAATTCAAGAGTCCTACCCTGTGTCTGGAAGCTGTGACTTATACTGCAAACAGGGAAAGAACGACTGCATACCATTGTGTGCTGTACTACTTTTTATCTGGTTTAACAGATCCAAATAACTGGTCTCCTTTGTAGTTGAAGGTATGGTGTGGTGAAATCAGCAGCAGTGGGAGTCAGGTTTTCCTTAGCTGTTTCTCTTACAGACATGTTTTTGGAATTTAATGTTCTCTCTTAGGAAACCAGTGTAACACAGTGAAGGTGACCAAATATTAGTGGCTGACAGGTGGTTCGATATAGAGGTTTGCTTATATACCCTTATGACTTGAAAATGTGTTTTGTGTTTTTATGTTGATGATAGGATGAGGGAAGAGAATTCCTTTACAATGAGAACACAGTTAAGGAGAGCAATAACATCATGGATAAATGGATTCTTTCTTTCACCCAATCACTCATTCAGTTCTTCAAAGCTGAAATGGCAGGTATGCACATGTTTGATCGGGTGTGTGTACGGGTGTTTAATTTTGGTTAGAGAACTAGAGAACCATCCAGAGATTTCCAGATTCCACATGAGACTTGAAGTTCAGATAAAAGGAAGGAAATCTTCAACCAGCTACCATAATACATGGAATGCCACTTTCATGGGCGTTTTCTATGTTTGTTCATGATATTTCAAAAAGCGATGAGGCTTTTTTGTCACGGTTAATCCTATGACTTCAGTGATGTAGCTTGTTGCTCTAACATCATTTTCTGCAGTGCTTGGAGCAATTAATAGTATTATAATAGTATCTGAAATATAGCAGTGAAGAGGAAGCCAAATAGAATTTGGGGAAGCTGGGAAAAAAAAAAAAAGATGTAATGGGCAGTGCTCAAGTCAGCTAAATAAAATAATTTTGAGACGTACATGAGCACGGAGAATAAATTTTCCCCTGCATAGTTCCAAGGAGAGGGTTTCTTTGTAATCATATGGGGAGTGCGTGCAGCAGGACGGAATAGCATTAGGATATTGATTGCATAGCTGTAAGGAGATACTCTCCTGCCTAGTTTTTCTTCCTGCATGTTGGTGCCTTTAAGGTCACTAGAAACTTAGATATTGGAAAGAAAGTGGCTCTTGCCATTGTAGTTCCAGTTTATGAATAAGCAAACAACCCCCCTATGCCTGTGATGTTAAGTTGCCCTCGGAAGAATTTTTAGAACCTTCTGCAGGTGTGCTTCAGCTTGGGGAAGGAAGGTATTAGTGGGAAAATAGGTAATGAGGAAACAGCTAAATGCAAGATCTGAGTTTGAGGACCCAGGACAGTCCTCCTCTGCTTCAGTCATTTCTTGTATTTCCCCCTCTTAGACTGGCATGATCTTCACTCTCACTAGGACCAGTAAGATGAGTTTATCTTGCTACAGTAGATAAAGCAGGTCATTTTGGTAATAACAAAATTCAGGTGAGGTCATCTAAGAACATTTCATTAAAGGAAGAAAGAATCCTCAAGCTACCAAAATCAGGAATATGATAAAAGCTGTCTGTTGTTGACAAAAATGTGGCTTTTTCCTAGAAGTTTTGTCCCTGAAATGTGATGGTGGTGTGGGTTGAGTTTCATGTGTTGCCAAACAGAAATATGCAGAGCCTATGCAAGTTTACATGCTGCATGTAAAGGGGAAAATGCTTTGAGAGACAGTGGAAAATTCATTTGTGAATGTGTACCTGGGATCTTGGATTAGTGCGTGGTTTAAACAGAGGTTGTATTTGCAGGAAGATGAGCATGGGGGTAGAAACTTGAATTCTCTGCTCTGGATTTCTAAGAGGAATATGAAGCTAATAAAAAGGGATGTCTCAGCTAACATCTTTACAAAGCAAGAAGATCGTTCCAAGCAGGAGAAGAAAATTCCTGTTGGAAAATGACAATGTAAAGACTTTCAAGACTGTAGTGTTGGTATTAAATGCTATTGTCTTGTGTTAGATGAAGATAACATGATGTGCTCATCAAATGAGTGACGTATCTCAGTTGGAAGTGATTAATAAACATGATTTTTCAATTTATTTTTCTGCATAAACTCTGAATTCAGTCAGACAGATATTAAGGAGATGCAGTAAATTTGTGTACTGCGACATGATACTCTTGTGCTAATCTCTTTCAGAAAAAACTAGTTTGGGATTTTTTTTTTAAAGATTTTCTACTTCATATGACTTGAAGTAGGAAAAATGTCAGGAGGAGGCAAGGGAAGATTATAATGGTGACTTATGACCTCAAATGCTAGGTAAAGGAGATAAATACACTACACAAGCTTCATTTTAGAACCCAAGATTTTGAAAATAATAATGGAAAAAAAAAAAAAAACACAAATGCAGAAGCTATTGGAGTTGTGGCATGTTGTGAGCAAAAATAAATGATTGCATTCGCCAACTAATGCCATACAACTCTGTTCCCTGCAAGATGTGTAAAAAAAATTTGTCACCTCTGCCACGTCTAAAACATAGCTGAGGCAGTGATGCCGAGGTGATATTTGGGCACCATCTGTCAAAGAAATGGCCGTCTGCTCTGTAGCGTGCTGTTCCTGCACCTGTGTGTGTGATCATCTGTAAGCACATCCAGGCTTGAAACTCTTAAGTGGCAAGGAGACGCCACTAACCAGAAAAATGTTGCAATTGAACGTAGCTTCTTCCATTTAATCAAGTGTATTTTATAGTGGAGCTAAATTTTACACTGATTGCCTGCCTCTAGAAAAATGTTTCCATTAAGTAAAACTTATGTTAATTCTGCCCCAGTTTCTACTAGTAGCTTGAATAGCCAGCAGTATTTCAGCCTAAATCGAGTCCCTGTCGGTTTAGTATTGACCCCACTTGAATAGACTGAGGGTGGGAAGGGGAACATACTTGTGCACACTGCAACTTCGGGATGCTTTAGAGCGCCTAGAAAAACTTCAGAAAGGTGTAACAACGCTCTCCTAATCCTGGCTTGGGGAGAGCTTTTGACTTCCTAGAACGTACGCAATTGGAGAAAAGGAGACAACACGTATCAGAAAGCAGCATCATTTCAATTATTCATGGAAAACTGGCAAAAGTTAAATGTGTTGAAACCATACACGTGCGTTTGTAAGAGGGTTTTTGCTGTCGCATGTTATCTCTGGTTTAATAGGTGCCCAAAACTGGAGCTGTAGACATGCTGTCTTCAGGAGTGCCACAAGTTAGGTAGATGTGTGCCAGTAACCTCTTCAGCAGCAGCTGGTGTAGCTACCTTAGCTTCACTTTGGTAATAACACACTTACCCAAATGAATTATTAGCTATTGAATATAGTAGTATAGTTTCTCCACTAAACTTCATCTTTTATAATGGAAACTTCTGGGGTTTGGGCCCTTTGATAAACAGGGCAAGTAGTAAGATATTGGGAAGATATTATGGAAAGTAATAGGGCAAACAATCCTTTGTGTTTTAAAGGGGGTTAAAATTCTGTGTTTAAAACCACAAAGCCTTATTATGCTTTTTCCCCCCCTACTTAAGTGCCCAATACAAGAAATTACTTTATAAAACAACTTTTCTCCTGATGACTGAAATTGAAAGAAGCGTGTGTGTGTGTCTCTGTGCATGTATGTGCACGTGTTTCCATGTACATGCATGACTTTTTCTTGAGTCATGAAAAAGTAAAATTTCAGTTTGGTTTATGAACTGGGATTACAGCTATTGAGGGGAGAAATGCATGTTTCCAGGCTAACTTGAATCTCTTGTTAAAGATATACTGTCCCTGAAGGGTGGGTTTTTTGAGGTTTTTTGTTTGTTTTTAACCAATCTCCTAACTAGGTAACACATAGCTAGAAGGGAGCTGGGAATTTTTTTAGCAATACAAATTCTCACGTAAGTAATGTCTTCCTCACCATGGCATGAATCTTCTGAGTGTTTCCTTTTTAGGTTTAAATACCAGTACTCTGCCTTTAAAAACACTTCTATTTTAGAAAATGCAGTGAAAAGTGTGGTGGAGCTTTTAAAGCAAAGATCCATTTTATTCAGTAGCTGCTTGATTAATGAAACTGATGCAGAAGAGAGATCAAAAAGCTCTTTGCTTCTAGAGAAGTTATATACAAGTTTTTCCTTAGAAAGCTGGGTCCTGTTTAAGATCCATCCCCACCCCCCCAATTCTCTTGCGAACAACTGAAATTTGTTTTCCCAGTTGCATAGTGATGCTTGTGATGACCTTCTTTTTCGTGTTGGCAGTCCTCCATGCTTTTAAGTTACACAGAACTTGAAAATACAGCTATGTTTATCTTCTTACCTCGTCAGGCTTGCTGCTACTTTAGATTCTTTTAGCCTCCTGTGTTAGTTAGAAAAATAATAAAAAATTGCAATTAATCAGGGAGAATTGATTTAAATAGGTGTCTCACTTTAAATGTGGTGAACAAAAAAGAAAATGTTGGCAGTAATTAATTTTATTGTATGATTCTACAATAATTTCTGCTAAACTTCTAGTGACTTGGCTGTATTTACAGCATGTGCAAATCTAGGATTTGCCAAATCCTTTGTGATTAATAGTCTTTTATCCACTATCCTCTTTACGAGTCAGATAAAAGCATAAGGCTTCCATAATGTGTGTTTGTGTAGGATTAGGGAAGCAATTTGGTGGTAGATGTGTTTGTCTGGAAGCATGAGAATTGATGACGTGTGCAATTTGAAAATACAGTTTTAACATAATAGTATGTCTAATCACTTTTTGATCTTACATGCGTGCTTCTGCGCAAGTTTTATGTTTAACACCAGAGCTACAAATGATAATGTGTTTCTTTAAGAGAGGAACTTGATGCAGAAGGCAAATATTAACTACAGTAAATATTTTTTCCTTCTAGCTTACAGGCTGTACACTGTAGTCCCTCGATTAGTGAAGTTTGTTGATATTCTGACCAACTGGTATGTTAGAATGAATCGCAGAAGACTAAAGGTAGGTATCTACTTCTGCAATCTCGAACTGTAAACAAAATCCTAGGAGTAGTCTATGTTAATTTAATGCATAGCAGTTTCTTTATGCTGCATTTCAAATTTTATCAGTTTGTACCTGACAGTGGGAGTGAGAAGTTAACATTTTTTCCCTCCACCTTGCTTTTCGAGGAAAGCCAACCAAACAAAATGCCCAGTAGTTCTGTTTCACTTGCTGGATGGGATTGAGCAAAATGAATACAGTTTGGAAAACCAGTTTATTGCATTAACATAGGAAATTTTTGAAGTTTATTAAGTGCACTTACTGATCCTAAATTGCAGTTGTTGTTTTTTTCTTGGTGAATTCTTCAAATAGGGCGAGAATGGGACTGAAGACTGCATTATGGCCTTGGAAACCTTGTTCAGTGTTTTGTTCTCCATGTGCAGACTTATGGTAAGGGAATTACAGCCCACTATAACTATATGACATTTTTAATGTAGTTGATCTAAAAGCATGCGTCTTTGTGTCAAAGTTAACCATAGAAACTCGGGGTACAGAGACTGAACGCAGAAAAAACATGTTGCTACTGATTTGCGTAGCACAGTTCATTTTCCTCCTCTCCCTTTTATTTGCTTATCTGCCCCATGGTACTATAAAGAAGGCAAGTATCACCTGACTGATAAAGAGACATTATGATTTCTTATCTGGTGCCCAAAAGTAACATGTAAATATCAGGAAGGAGGTGAATAAGTAGTAGCAATTTCATTTATTTCGGTCTGCATTTTGAATAACATCGCAGTTCTGCATTGAAGACGCTGTGTAAGCATTGTTTTTGCTGAACTGTCCTTCTGCAATTCATAAGTGTTACTGATTCATAATGTACAAGCAATAAAGAAAAGATGATGATTGAATGCAACATTACAGGCACCATATACTCCATTTATCACTGAGCTGATGTACCAGAATCTGAAGACACTTATTGATCCGGCCTCGGTTCAGGAAAAGAATACTGAAAGCATCCACTACCTCATGCTTCCCCAAGTGAGGTGAGAGACAGCTGTTATGTGGCAAAATGGGGTTTTGGTTTGGTTGGTTGTTGGTTTTTGTTTGGGTTGTTTTTTCTTTTGCTTTTCACAGAACAGTGCTGCTTCACTTACTTGTGTTTAAAACTGTTTTGCATAACAAGAAAACAAGCTGCTTTAATAACGTGAATATTCCTTTGCCTCAGGAAGAATTTTAGGATGATAGTTAACATGTTCTTTTCTATAAGCAAAACTGTTTAAGTTTTGATTAAGCTCTGATTAATGTTAGTCTCTTTGCTGTAGGAGAACATTTCACTAGCAGTGCGCTTCACACCCCACTCTCAACGTTAGCTGGGAATTTTCTTTTCCCTCCACATCTAAGCAGTAAACTTGTGCTAGGTTAAAGGATTGTAGTTCAGAAGGAAAACAACTAGGAGGAATGCATGTTCCCAACTCATAATGTTTTCTTCTTATGGTGGGCAAGGAATATCCTTTTTACTCTTCAAAATGTGTGCTGACCAGAAGCTATAGTGCCTACCTATGAAGGCCCCAAAAGGATTATAAAACTTGTGGGCCCTGCATTTGCAAGAATGTGTGCATCCCCCCATCTCTAGGCCTTTCTTAGTGAATGCTGATGCCAGATCCCATGGGGACTGGGGTTAATTGTTTTGTGTGGACCACATACGGAGCCAGCAGAGTGAGTTCTTTTGGCTTCAGATCAAGAATTTAGACCATTGTCCAGGGATTGCCACTTCCTTGTAAGACGATACATCATATGAGAGAGAGCTTTCCAAACAGATCGTTTCTTTGGATGCTGATGGATGAGGGTTTTTTTGTAAGTGCCAGTGTGTCTCAAAAAGGTTTGGGTTCATGATGGTTGTACTGAACGTACACTCTGGGTTATCCATAGTATCAACTCAACCCAGGTAGAACATGACAACTGGAGTTGTTTCGGTTTGTTTGGTTTTTTTGTTTCTGGTTGTTGTTGTTGTTGTTGTTTTTTAATCCAGCCGAGGGAGACACTAGTATTACAGTAATCAGTTGCTCGTTAGTGCCTTGGTGCTATGTTAGTGGATTAAGTTAGTTGCCTGCATTGCAGCCTGCTGTTAGTCACTGAATGTGAGAGAAGCAAACTTTCCTTTTGCATTGCAGCTCAGTTTGAAAACCCTCAAGGACAAGGGAGCTGACCTTGATACTTTATGTGCCCGTTTAAAAATTTAAACCTTCTAGAAATGGTGTTTCTTTTATGGATACTATATCCTTTGAGGAAGGTGTATGTTCCTTCTGATAGCTTTAATAGTGAGAGTTACTGCAACAAGGAGTTTGAGATTGACATAATAATGGTGCTGATTTTCTGTTCCTTGGGAAAGTCCTGTAAAGAATATGTAATCAAAGAATGCAAAACTCCATCAGTGAGCTATCAGAAATGGTTTTGAGCTCCTGTAGAATGGAGTAATGGAAGGATAGTGAGCTATTTGCAGGAACTCCGTTTAGGCATGGGCTTAGCATGAGCGTTTAGAAGTGGCTTAGTCACTTTTTATTCTTGTTAGTGCTAACTGACTTGCTGCTGCATCATGCAAACATATGATGTATTTGAGTGGCTTGCAGGCTTTCCTCTTTGTATTGTACTTTGTTTGGATTTTTGTCTGCTACTAGTTTGTGTAATTTACTGGACCCCCTACAGATCAGTTGTTCCCTTTGTCAGATAAAAAGACATGTTTTCAGAATGAAGTTACTGTTGAAGTTTGAGTTTCACCTTGAGTTGCTGAGCACATCATTGCATTTTTCTTTGAATATTTTTCTGATGACTGTGTAAGGACAATATTGTCAGTTAATAATAAGAGACGTTTTTTGATGCAGTTACAGAAAATACTATTTAAACAATATGATGGGTATGTACAGGTAAAGCTGAGGGACTTGGCCACTTCCACAGCTGAACTTGACTCAATACCTGTGTTTCAAACCTCACTGAGGTATCACTTGGTTGCTTAGTGTCTGAACAGATGGGTTGCATTAAATTTTGTGGATGTGCATGCAATCTGTGAAGACTATTCTCATTTTGTGGGTTCACAATATTAAGTAATGGCAAGTAATATTGAAATACTGCCACATTATACTATATGAATCTTTCTGGGAGCAAAATCTATCTCCCAATGTACACGTTTCCAAGTTTTTGGAGGACCATCCTGAAAGACTGGCTTTTGGAAGAACAAAAGCTTCAAAATAGGTAGTAACATCTTAATCAAAGCCCTAATGCAGAAGATGGGGATATTTCAGTTGTAATTTTGCTTTACCAGTTCTGTTTTTCTGGACAATCCTTATTGGGTGCATGGTTTTCATTCCAGTACTTTTGCTACTTATATTACAGCAAGCAACTTTGTTCATTCTATTCACAACTGTCGTTTGAACCAGTGACTCTGGTCTTGATATGACACTTGCGTGGTTTTAAAGGAGCTGCACGATTTATGCAGCTACTCAAGAAATCAGGAAAACCACATTTTCAGAACTGTTGGCTGCTAGTACGTTTGAAACAAGATGTGAATGTCAGCTTACTCAAAAAAACCCAAACAACCCAACCCAAAAACAAAAAGACAGAAAACCCCCCCAACCCTGCCTTGCCTCAAAATGGAAGGGTGTTAAAATGATGAAGCCAGGAAAAATGATGAAGCCAGGAAAGCTGACAAGACTGTCTAAAACCTCAAACTAAAATATCTAGAATTCCTGGAAAAGATTATAAATTGAGATCCAGTGAGTTGGTTGCATTATAGGTATTTCATTGTCATTATAAGTATCCTATTTATAATATCTTTTTGCATCTTCTTATGTTATTATTAATATAAACCTTATTTTTTTTATTGGATGTTAATAGAATAGGTAGTATGACTCAATCCATCATCTCCATCTTGTGAGAGGTGCTAACAAAAGATGATTTAAAAATAGCTCTGTTTTTTGTTTTCAGCAAGTTATTTCATCATCTTCTTCTCCACAAAGAAAGAAGAAAAACCTGTTTGTTCATTTTTCAAATTGCCCCAAATGGGCATAATTGTGTCTCTTGTAGGAAGTTTCAGGGAATGGGGTAAAATGTTTTCAATCTGCTCAGATACAATGAAAATAAAGCAATATAACGTTTCCTTTTTAATCTAGGGAGGATCTCATCGACAAAAAAATTGAAAGTGCCGTTTCTTGTTTGCAGTCTGTTATTGAGCTTGGACGAGTAATCAGAGACAGAAAAACCATTCCAGTAAAGGTTAGAACTCTTAACATGTCTTATCAATACCTTGGGAATGTGCAATAGCTTTGTAACTTTGGGATAAGCCTGGGAAAGTTGAATAATTAAGTTTGGAATAGCAAACAGAGTTCAACAAGAAAATACTTCATATGATAAATAATAATTTCTGAAGTTCTTTATTTTCAGTTGGAAGGACAAAATTTCTGGTAACTTTTTTTTTCCTTCTCCCCAGTATCCTTTGAAAGAAGTAGTTGTTATCCATCAGGATCCAGAGGCCCTGGAAAACGTCAGATCTTTAGAGAAGTATATACTCGAGGTAAGAACATCATGAACAGGATGCTTAACTGGATTGTGTATGTCAGTTATCTAAACAAATAAAACCCTAACCTTCTCTGTTGATGATATTAATACTCACTAGGTAAAATTAATTTAAGAGAATTGTAATGAAAGGGGATCTTAATGTGTACAGCAATGAAGGTAAATGGGTGATGAACCTTAGTCAGTTGTAGTATTGAGAAATACTTAATCATTCAAACTGACCACATAGGACTAAGAGGCTGTTAAAAATGTTCTTTTTATTGATCAGTGAAAGGAAAAACCATTTTCTGAATAAGACAATAGTCAGCTACATGTTATCCAAGGGATGGGTTGCAAAATTTGTGATCTCCTTCAGTTAAAGGGCATTAAAACCAGTTTGACAGTAAGTGGAAGGGTTGATGGAGAGAAGGAGCTCCATGTAAGGGAGAATAGGGGACCAGTCAAGATTTTTGCAGGATGTTGTTTAGGAAATAAAATGTCAAATAAGAAAGATGTCAGTCTATACAATTTCTTACACTCATCTGCTCCTGTATGCCACTGCAATACTCTTTTAATGTGTGTCCATTAGAGAAATGCAGCCTGCCCTACTTCTAAATCTTTGTTTGGATCAAAGCCCCGTCATTCAAAAGAAAAGCAACCCTTCTTGGTTTTTTGAGCTTAACTTCCTGAAATTGGCTGCACTTTCTGCTTTTAGTCATTCATGTAAAAATTCATAGTATTTTAAGCAGTGAAATGAAAAAGGAGCTTGTTTATAAATAAACTTCATTTGTTTCTGTTTGTACTATGAATAAATCTTTTAAACTTCAGCACTGAATTCAGAAGTTGTAGTAAAGGCACAAAGCCTGTTACTTTTTGATTGCTTAAAAGACTGCTTGTAGAGTGGGCTTTTTTTAGTCTTTATATTCAATTAAATTCCATTACAAACAATTTATATGCATCTTCTTTCACATCTATGATGTACAAGAGAAATCAAACAGTAAGAGGAAATAGTGAGAAGGAAGAGTGTTTCAGCTACAGTGATGAATTTCGATGAGCCATGGTGTTTTTATTCAAAAAGAAAAGGAAAAAAAAAAAAGCTACTATGCCAGTGTGCCTTAGAACTTTTTTCTAGGTGTCGGGGCCTTCAACACATCTTGCAAACCAGTGGTTCTTACTACTTAAATCTGTCATGATCATGCATTTGATATCATGAGCTATGCTATGTGTAATTTCTCAGTGTTAGCAACCTGGGGGCTTTATAATTGCTTTGCTGAACAGGGAGTTAGAGGTAATATCATCTCCACTGTAAGACGGGAGGCCTTTCAGAACCATTCTTGGAAGGCAGTGAGGGAGGAAGGAAGACTGGTTAAGGAATGCTGTTCTTTCTGAGCAGTCTTAATTTCCTCTTGCTGCAGTAGTCTGTCATTGGGATGGATGATCACTTTTCACCCAAATGTTTCATTGTGTTCCTTGGGGAGATAAGCCATGACTTCATCTTTGTAACTGTATGTGTTTGGGGAGGAAGGAATTGCATTTCTTATAGCAGCTCTTTGCTAAGAAAGCAGAATTCTAAAGGAACTGATTTGATGTTGATGTTGGGCAGAATGCATGCATTAGACTTGAATGTAAATTGGGGATTACTTCATGACAATAATTTCTCTGTATTAATCTGTCTGGATTTTCACTTGAATCCTTCCTTTATGCAATCTTATTGTATTTGTGTGTAGTTCTTAATTCAGTGAGGCAAAATACACGCCGGCTTTTCTTTCAGATGAGAATTGAAGGAGTGGTCTTGCAAAACAAAAACACCTAGGTAGTTGTTCAGACGATCTTCTCTGTTCAAGACCTCCTGATAAAGCTGTTTCTGAGGAAGGGATACTAGCCTCGATGCAAGGTCCTTGTTAGAGAAGTTAAGTACAACATAATATGAAAACTAACAACCCCCCAAAATACCAACTTCTTTAACTGTTACAAGAGACTTCATGTAGAAGTCTTAATACCATTTCTGAATGCCTGCGAACTGCAAGCTTAGCCTTCTCATGTCTTGCCCTCTCCAATCTACGTGTTTGAAACAGTCTCTGTTTAAATGAGCAAAAACTAGAAGAAAAAAAATTTGAACAGCAATGTAGTTGTACATCTGAACAGTTTATGAAAGACTTCCTTCCTTTCCCTCCTGTGATAACTTCACATCTGGAAAGGTGAGCCATAGGGTGTACTTTTTATTATCCTCTGAAGTCTGCCCTCTTCCTGTATTTTAAGTGCTTGTAGCATATATACTAAAAACAGATTACTGTTACAACTTAATTCTTTGTACTATTTTACCTCCAGTGTACTTCCCAAGCTACTGTCATATTAGTGTGTGGCTTCTATGTGTCCAAGTACGGTAATCAGGTGGGAAATGTAGTGCAGTTCAGAATGGTTCCTTTCCTTCAGCTCCATCCACAGCACTGAAGCTTTGAATCTGACACTGCAGAGGAACTTCGTCTCATTTCTGTCTTCAGGAAATTTTTACTGTGTTATATCACCTTAGAGCTGATATAATGTAGGACTGGTGGGTTCAGCGATCGGTCTTTAGTTTGTGTTTCTGTTTAATGGCCTCTGGATTATTAAATAAAATACATTTCTACTAATAATTGACCTTTGACCTTCCTGTCATCTTTCATTTGTCAGAATCTGTTGCTTTCCAGATCAGTTTATATACATTCATGACAGAGTCAGTTCCAATGGCTGTACTAAGGCATGCTGATAGCACGTGAAGCATAAGGTTATGATGCTTTACATTTAATGGATTTTTTTTCTTCCGTAAGTGTTTGTAACGTTTTGCATTCTCTAAAGCCAGTGAAATGGATCTTCAAAGATAAGTGAGATAAGTTCTTTATGTATAAAGATGATAACCACTGGCAGTAGAGTGTCTAAGGATTTTTTCCCTTGTCCAGAAATGGCATGGCCCTTATCATACGCCTGTCCTTGGTGGGTTAAGGATTCTTTCTTCCTTTCAGTAAGGTATATTCAGAGGGCTCTGTAACAGAAGATCTAGGCACATGCTTAAAATGCGATGGAACTTTTTAGTTCAAGTTGTCATTGTCAAGATCAGCTGCTTTGCCTTGACAAAGAACAAAAATCTGCATCTACCCAAGCAAGATCAACTCATCACACTTGTTTTGGTGAGAGCAACCATGTCAGTCAAAGAATTCAAGAGATGAGTGAAGCAGCGGAGGACCTCTTAAACTTCTAATTATGTATTATTCCAGCAATACCATCTTTCCCCAAGCCTAAATACACATCTAAGGAAGGCTTCTAAAAATTCTGCTGGGGGCAACTTAAGAGCACTGGCTAAGGGACTCATGGCTTAATACACAAGACTTCTAGATCAGTGTGGTATGCTTCTTGCTTTTAGTTACTGGGGGACTTAAATTCTTAAGAATTGTGCACTAAAGGAATTTCAATTAAAAAAATCTTTATTGATTTGCAAGTGGGATTGTAAGGCTTTTCTGTCATGTTAGCTTATTGATTATTTCTCTAAGACTTGGCAGTTACGATGTTTCACTTCAAAATTGCTATTATTAGAAATCATTTCAATACCTGCATCTTTTCAATAGCAGAATTTTGTGAAATTTAGGTTAGTGTCTATCGCACTTTCTTGATCTGAAAACTGGGTTTGTGGATTTTACAGAATCCAATTTTAAGGGAGATGAGGTTTGCTTACTCAAATTACTTCCAAAAAGATAGCTGAGAAAATTTGCTGTCAACTTCTACAGCTAGTAAAAGGTAACCAAAGAACCTAACAATTTGATAAATTATTATATAATTGGATTGTACAAAAGGAGGTTTTAATTTATATTCATTTGCTGCCACAAACAAAGTTCAGGTATGTCTTATGGGCAGATGAGTTTCAACAAACTCAAATACCTTTATGGAAGCACAAATACAAAATACTGTCTATTGGCCTATTTTTATTATGTATCTTAAAATTCGACAAGCTGATGCTGAAGCTTAGTATTTGTTTTATTGTATTGCGTAGCAATCAATCTAGTTGTTTACTAGGATGGTTCAGAGCTAAGGAGGTCAATGAAATAGGCAGACTGGGTAGTATTACTTGGGCTCTATTTGCAGCTTTGTTCATCAACGTCCTACATATTTGGAGCTTTGGAACCTTTAGTTTTTGTCAGAAGTGTGTTTCTAGTAAATTTGCAGGTGCCAGATGTAATCGCTAAGAAAAATTACATCATCTGATTTCATGCAGTTGCTGACAAAAGAATTTGAAAAATACATTTGTCAATTCTTCAAAAATTTCATTCATCGCTTTTTCAGAAGTAGCTGTAGTCTTTGATCTGCAGTCTTACTCTCTCATGATCAGAACGTAGCAAATCATTTAAATAAATGGATTTTAATATTAGAACTCTCCAGAGTATAGAGTTGTCATGCAAAAGTGGCCAAGCTCACGAAATGAAATAAATCCAGAAGGCTTTTAGTGACTGAACACCGTTGCATTTTATTCATTAGTATTTGAGGCCTTTTACAAGCCTAATTCAGGATTTCTCGTCCTAACTACTTCCAGTGAAGGGTTTTATCTCAGTAAATTTTACTCTAAGCACAATCAGAATCTTGTCTACATCCAACCTTTGTATACCCTTTAACCCCCACCCCTACGTATGGCTTTAATAAAAAAATAAGAGAAAATTGACTTCTTCATCAAATCCGAGGTCTACCAGTATTTCAGAACGTTAATGGTGTTACAGTAATGTAGTAGACGGAGTCCATGAATGGGCTGAATTAACTGACGCATGAGCTGTAGCAGTGTGTGGTCCCTCAGTATTTTGTTTTTTACAGTATTACATAATCAATATTTATTTTCCTTTTTAGGGTGTTAGCTTAGAGAGTCCAGCCCAGCTGAAGCACAGCACTGGCATTTCTCTTTCTCTGTTCTGAGAACTGGGCGTAGTTGGGTTACCGGTCGATCTGATCATGTCTGGCACGTGGCACCAACTAAAGGCCCTTGTACGTATGAATGCCTGAATATACAGGTCTTCCTACTGGCGATGGGAAGGACTGGTTGCCTCGGTTTGTTTGTATGAGACTTTAAAGATGTGTTAAGGAGCTAATTTTGACTTATTGGGAAGATAAAATTAAGAACTACTTTAAGTCAAAACACTATATTGACGCAGATATAAACAGACCTAAAATACAGACTTGATTCTTTTTGAAGAATCATTCTGGTTTTTTAATTGATAATGTATACAGAAGAATGGTTTCCTAATTTAATTAGTATAGAAAACTTGTCCTGATGGAGTTGGCTTGTATGTAATTTATCTAATCAGGCCCAAAGTCATCTTTAAATTTGTGCTATTTTTTTGGATTATAATTTCTTTTTCCCCATGAGGTTGTCTTTTAGCACTTGTGGGCTCATTTCCAATAGCACCCCATTAAAACTGAATTTCTGAAGTACATAATTTTCATTAGATTTCCTAAAAGATGTATTAAATAAAATCAGATTTCGTTGTATTCTTGGCTCCTCATGTCAATAGGACTTCTTAGGGAATTAGACTGTAGCTCAGAGGTGGTGTTTAAGCATTACTTCTCAGTCTAAATGTTTGGCTACTTGCTAGTCCTGTCATGCTGACGCTACCATTTACTTCTGCTCCCTAAATGCCTTGGAGTAGCTTGCTTGCCAAATGCACTTGGTGATTCTGTATCGTGTCGATGTGAACTCTAACAACCTTCTAGTGGAGATCTAAACACAAAACGCTTCAAGTATTGGGCAGTCTGACAGACAAAACCCGCCAAATTGTAGTGAAATGTGCTCCAGATTTGTGCAGGTTTGTACCTGTAGAAGAGTTGCATGTTGGCAATTAAAACTCTCCAAGATCTGTCCCTGGTACGTTACACCAAGAATAGGGAGAGTGAGACTGTGCAAAACTGGAAATTTAGGTATCAAGTCCTGCCTTGTGTGTGTTTCTTACTTAGCTTTACAAAGCAGGGAGAAACCAGACTCTCTTGAAGACATAAAATACACTGGGATACAGTGCTCTTATTTACAGGAGGTATACCAGGACATTATTTCTTGGTGTTATTAATAATGTGTGTAATGCATTTGTTCGTTGCACAGAACTAAGTGCAGAGCGGAGAGGTTTGCTGTGTATTTTCAAATTTGGCATTGTATGATGGTCAGGATGTGTAATGAAGGGGTTTTTTTAATGGTGGTTTTTAATGGGCTTATGTGATGAGGCAAATACTTGTAATTAAGTACATATGAAATGACTCAGTGGTTTAGGCTTGTGGCTCATCTAGCACATTGTGCTGTCTCCTGCAATGGCAGAGTCCATTTAGAGAAAGCACAAGCATCTCGGCACTTCTTGCAGTAGACTCCTGTCATAGGTGGCCATCTGCAGCTATTGTATTAAAGATACCCAAGGGCACATGCCTGCCTGTTCCTTTTAACATCTTTTCATGTGCCTACTGTTAGGAGCTTAATTCCTTT